TATGTGTGTATATATATATATATGTATATATATATATACATACCCGTACTGTAATTTATTTCAGTCATTTTCTTCAACTCTGTTATTTTCCTAAAAACACTAAACTGTTCTGCAGTTAAAAAATGATACTGCTTGAGATAAGAGATTATTTTAAATTGGAAATGTGTAAGACATGTTATCAGTCCCAATTTTAAAGTGAGTCTTTAACATTAAAACTGTGAAAATACATTTGATATTTATAGACACTTTAATGCTAGCCTTATAACTTTATTGTAAAACCTTTTTCAAAGTAATTTTATATTAAGTCCAACTTTACACAGAGCTTATATCAGTTAAGTATATCAGAGTACTAAATAGTTCATTCACTTGAAGCCTTTGGAAAAATTTAGTTTTACAGTGCTTCACGGTAAAAAGAAAAATCTTAATTCTATTAAAAATTGCGAAGTTTTATTATAAACTTAGCACTCAATTCTCACTTGGAAATAGAGTGTATAACCCAAGGTTACTATATAAGTGAAGGGAGTGGGTCAGAAATGGTTCTCCAGCCCGCACCAGGCCAATGAGATACTTCTGGACCTGAGGCATGACAGGTTTAAGGCTGGAGCTGCCACACACCGATTAGAGCAATTGACTAAAAATAGTCCTAAGTTCTGAATTCACTAGCATTATATACTACTTTTGCCACTGACTGAGGAATTCAAGTTGAAATGTCATTCATTCTATAGCTCTGGAGTGCATCTTTGAAATTTCTGCTCAAATAATCACATAATTGCCTAATCTGGGTTACAAAAACAAAACAAAAAAGTCCTGTTTAATGTTATACAGAAAGTATTATTATTTGCTATATACAACTAAATCCAACTGTGAATTCAGTTATATGGCCCTGTAAAAGATACATGTATTACTTTGCCTTCACAACAAAAACCTAAATGTTTCTATTTATGAATTCAGCCCTTGGTTTCCAAAGTTAGAAAATAGGACTAAACAATGAGGGAAAAGGAAATGTAGCCTTGCTGCCCCTTTTCTCTTGGGAAACTTGTCCTTTTGAAGACACTTTTCTACTTCGTTTATTTCACTTTTAGAAACTGATTATCTGTGTAGAGTATAACAACATGTTGAAGCCCTAGCCTTAAAAGGCAAAAGAAAGTATTCATAATAAAACAGTGTAATAAGTATTAGGACTTGAGCTGAGAACAGTTTCCCTAAGGATGTCCTAAACTAAAATCTTAGGACTGATACGATGAGAAATTATGTTGTCTTACTGCTATATTATCAGTTCAGTTAAAAAATGACTGGCAGTGAACTTGGGCAACCCAGAAATCTGACCTCTCTAAATGTACCTGAGGTGGCCAGTGCACCTTGAGGAGTCTGGCATAGCAGTTAAAATCAGGTTGAAGCCAGAAGGTGGGCCCTAGGAAGGTAAGTTTGAGTGATGGCAAGCCTTGCTTTTGGACTATGAGACCACCAATATAAAGCCAACACATGGATCATAAGCCATCGATTGTCAGTATTACAATATTAAAAAGAATAGCCCAACTTCTCTGGACTGGTTCAGCAGTTCACCCAAGTATTTAAAGGATTCTTTAAAAAGGTGTTGTCTGAACCACAAAAACAAGTCTTTGGTGTTTTCAATATTAAATTACACTAAAATTTAACTAGTCATTTATAAAGGGGTTTAAGTGTTTTATGTTAAGTATTTCCAGCAAAGTGAAAGTTGAAAATTTTTACATTATTAACTACGTAGGAATAAAGAGCTGTTGAAAGATGGAGTATTACATGTTTTGACTCTATTTGTCAAGAATATGCATAGATAACAGTATTCTCCTAACCTGACAAGGAGTACCTTCCATTTCTTGTCATTCCCCATCCCCAGGACCAAAGGTTAGTCTTTACAACTTGTGCTTTTATGGATGAACCCTCATTTCAGAGAGTATGTACATATTTCTTTACAGCTCACTGTAGGACCCTGAACCTGCAAAACAGTATTTGATGGCCCACTTATAGAATTCACCATTTTGGTTTTGATTTGTATGCCAATTTGTATTTGTCTCAATAAATACTTAAGTCGATGCATGTGGTCTTTTTTTTCCCCCCTGAGAGGCTGTGCTATAGGGACCTTGCTTCCAAATACAACTTTTCTAATGTCTATAGAAGCGAACTAGAGATTGCCTACAAAAACGTCCATTTAGGGATGTGTACTTTCACTAAGCACTGTTACCTGTATGTGAACTAAGCTTAGTATTAAACTAATCCAGTCCTTAGAGTTAGCCATCATAACCATCACACAAGGTATTAGACAGATGGGCTAGTTAAAACTCAGCTCAAAGCCTTTCCTATTCTAACCTCTACAAATGGGTATGCAAGGGAAATTCAAGGAGTAAACTTCATTGTAGCAAAGGTACAGCACAGTCTTGCATCCTTTAGACAAAAGTGCTATTAAGAAATTAACTTACATACTGTGATTTTGGAACAGCTACACAGGACTTCTGAAAAGTCTGTAATAGTTGCCCTAAAATACAAGGACTTGGTGTTATATATGCTAGAACAGTAATGACAAACTCTTTATAGAGTACCCAAACTGCAACTCAAATCCACTTGAGAAATACCAACACTGTAATTAAACATGAACACAGGGTTTTAGAAAAAAATTCATACGTTAAGGTCTAATGCCTTAAAAACAATGTGGGCCATAGGTTTGCCACTGTACTACAGTGTAGCTAGACCCAACTTTCATTTCTCTCAGTGTTAACTACCTCAAATATATCATTCTCCACTAAATAGCACAGGCTAGCCTTTTTAAAATTTCCAGTGAATTTCAAACTTTTAAACAGACCCAGAAAAGGATATGCTAACAAAATGAAAGAACATGAACACGAGTTCTCCCAGGTTAAATCAGGAACCAGCCTGGTTATGAATTGTTAAAATTTAACACTTATTTCAGGTAATAAAATAATGTTACTTAATTTCAGGAGAGAATTAATTTTGGTACCAGGGATCAAACTCGGGACCTTGCACTTACAAAGCAGAAGGTGGCACCACTAAGCTAAATGCCCAGCCCTCACGATAATTTTTTAAAAATCTATAGTTTAAAAGATAAATTTCTGGGCCAGGGATTTAGTTCAGTGGTACCGCAACCTGCCTTGCAAGGGCAAGGTCCAGAGTTCGATGCCTGGTACCAAAAGAAAAAAAAAAAATTCAGTTGTTTCATTTGTACTTCTTAATGCCTCAAACTGTAATTATTCAAAACAACGTAGGCAAATTGCTTAAAGTGCTATCCGGGAACTTTGGTGTGATGTCTTCTAGGTATTTTCTTCATGCATATTTCTGGATCCGCGCCAGACCCACTACACATCACTTGGTAATGAGGTCCTAGAACCAAAATTCAACACATTGTAACGAACTTGAGAACACAGCCACCCCAGCTATACAAATATAGCTGACAGTTACAGTGTCTGTACATGACTCCTTTCAGAGATTCTTTTCTACTAAAACGATTTCATTGGCCAAGCATGAGAAGTGGTTTTCTAACATGTTTCCCCTCCATCCACAAGCAAACCTCAGTTCTCACTTGGAATTGTATAACCCAAGGTCACTATATAAGTGAAGGGAGTGGATTAGAAATGGTTCTCCAGCCTGCACCAGGCTAATGAGATACTTCTGGTCCTGACACATGACAGGTTTAAGGCTGGAGCTGCCACATGCAGATTATAACAGTTGACTAAAAATAGACCTAAGTTCTGAATTCAACTATAGATTCTCTGGAGAGCCAAAAATTGTTTTCTATGTAAACCAGCTTTACATGTGGTTTGCAATAACTTGGTGTTATGGGTTGTCTAGGTGTCCCTCAAAGCCTCATGTAGTCAGTGGGCCTTTACATAGTGCCTAGCTCAACAGTGTGTGTGATATCCAGATTAAGAGTGTGATTACTAAATTAGGCCACTGATTGGTCTGGCATAGTTTCTGAGTGTGGATAATGGGAAGGCCCACCCTGGGTGTGAGTACTATCCACCCCAAGGGCATGGAGCCTAGATAGAATATAAGGAGCAAAATGAGGTCTGCTGTTGCTGCTTGCTTCCTTGCTGTTTTGCTGCCTTCCTGCCTTCTGCCTGCCAAGAACTGTTTCTCCTCTGCCATTCACTCTGCCTTGGAGCCAGGCAACTATGGACTGAAACCTCTACAAACTGTGAGCTAAATAAACTTTTCCTCCTTTACCTTTGGGTGTCTCAGCAACAAGAAAAGTTAACTAAAACACATGGCTAAAGAGGAAACATTCAATGAAGGTAAATTGATTCCTAGCACATTTTTAGAGAAGCAGAAAGACTCACATTCCCAATTACAGTGGTACCTTAGTTTATGACTACAATTTTGGGGAAGATGGCTCTATTTGTGTTTGTGTGGTCAAGATGGCTGTGGTCATGTTGGTCACAATGCAGAGATCAAAAGCAAAATTATGATGAACACTTTGTTTGTGAACTGAATTGTTTGCCAACAGAAGCGTTCCTGAGTTGAGGTATTACTGTATATGGGCCTAGAGAATAGTTAACAATAGACTTACAAATAAAAAAAAAAGACTTACAAAGATAGATGTTACCTCCCAACAGTAAGGCAGATCAAGATTAACTTCAGCAGGTTAAGTGTCAAGTATGTAACATTAATAAAAAGAGCTTTTAAAGTTCTAAAATTTAAACTCCAACCAGAATATTAGCAAATTAAAAAATGAGTACAAAATAACTGCATTTAAATTGAAAGCAAAAGTGCTATTCCAAAGGCTCATTTTGAAAATGCAAATGCAGCATTAAAATTAATCAGTACAATAATCCAAAAGAAATTACACAAGACCACTGCAATTTAAAAAAATGCTTTAGATTTGTATCTCTAAGAACTCAATAAACATTGCCTAGGCATCAAGGAAAATACAAATACAAACTAATGGTTATGTGTGTTTATTTCCAACTTTTTAAAAAGGTATGTATATCTATGTGCAAAAGAGAATCCTAGCACCAGGCAAGAAGCAGGATACCTTCTATATGTTGCAAATTCACATACTTTTCTCCTCCTCTCTCAGGAGTTACCTAATTACTTAAATGTACTCTTTGGGATTTCTAATTGAACATTGTTTTAAAAAAAAATCTGTACCATTAATACTCTGTACCTTCATTATGAGTTAAAACTATAACGAAAACTGCTTCATAAATTTTTATTGATGGCGTTTATCCCATGGTTTAACATGTTAATTATATTGTAATAAACATGGCTTTAATATTAAACATTTCCTTATTATCCAAAGTCACCACAGTCCATTTCAGTAAATATAAAAATATATGCTTAATACTTTGTACAATACTGGTTTTTGGTCCAAACAAAACTGGATCAGAAAAGCCAATAAATTCAACTTTTAAGAATATCCAATTTTTTTTTAAAGATTTCCAAATGGATTTAGGCAACTTTGAATAATGGGATTTACGTAATAAAATCTGAGACAAGACTAAACAACAAAGAAAAATTCTAACACAAAATTAAAATTTCAAGTTCACAGATTTATGTTATACCAAAAAGGTACAGAAACAAAATTGTATTTACAGAAGTTGTATAATAAAATAATGAAAAAGGCAAGACAGGTGATAGAAGAATGAAAATATAGAAATAGCATATAATTATTAAATGGAGAATGAACTAGATCTAACAAGTCCATAGCATGGACTAATTCTTTGATCAGGCTTTATCAGAAAATCTTAGTGCACAATACATCCAACTCACTCACTTCACACATACACCAGCACAAACTCAGCATAGAAATCGCTCATTTCAATGTCCTCTAATCTATACAGAATTCTAATCTATACAGAATTCCTCAGATATAATTACAATTTCAACTCGTTCCATAAACTCTTAGCAATGCACACAGTGGTGCAGACAAAGAAGTTCTATACAAAGCCATTCACCGTGCAGGCTCTATTCCTGGGTACAGCCAGACTACGCCAAACCAGTGAATAATGTGCTGGATCATAAAATATTTTTGCTGAAGAATCAGACACCAGTCTAGCTATTATTTTTTAAAAAGTGGGTAAAAGATGGGGGAAGGGATTCCATAAAGAGAAGGAAGATTCCAAAATTAAAGAAGTCCTTAGGCAGATCTGACTTCAGATAAGCCTGGCATGTAGTACAATCCAGTATGTAAATGATGGGCACCAGCTGTTACAACTGTTATGTTTAACACCATTATGACCTTTATTTTCTGCGCCTAACAGCAGTCTTTATCTTGCGGCCAGGAACTGAAGTTCCAGAAGAAGAGAACATATTTTTTCCATTTGACCTGTAAAAAATAAAAACTTCATACTATTACATAATGCTCCCAGCAAAACTTTAGAATAATATTTTTATTAAACATGAATGGCAATAAGGGGGAGGAAGATAGGAAAAGGCACTGTATTGTTAAAACACATTTTCTGCTATTTGTGACACAAACATTACTGCTATTTTTCCAGGGCTATAATATAAACTTGTAATAAAGTGAATTCATGTTAGCAAATGGAGAATATATTTAATTTTACCAAATATTACTGCATCTTGAGGATGTTTAGAAAATGAAACATACAAAAGCACACACCAACGTATAACTTCCATTTCAACAAAACATTCTCTTACCCTACTGTAAATGCTGCTGACGACTGGCTAAAGGGAAAGCTCCCTGAGCCTGAAGGCTGGGCTGAGGCTGCAGGTGTACTGGGATTTGCACCAAATGTGAACACTCCTGATGGATTATTGTTTGTGAAATTGAAATTGGTAGTACTGCTGCCAAACTGGAAAGCCGAACCTACAATAGTGAAGCAGAAATACTTCATTAATGAACAACGATTCTTTCTCCTGCATATGAAAACATGTAGAGGTTATGATCTCTTATTGTCACTTAAACTAATGAAAACTAAAATACTTTCTCTGTTGACACAAAGTATGCACTTGATACATCCAACAAGTGACACAATTCACCCATGACCAAGGGAAAAGGGACAGAGTGAATATCTGGTTAAAAATCCTACAGCCATCACCAGACAGGAGGGCACCATGCATAGTTAACAGCAAGAACATCATGCTGAAAACAGGGATTGAGAGGAGATTGGTACAGTGAATACTGAGAACTCTTGCTGTCCTCCCTGGAAGCATCTCCTCTGGGGGTTTGACAGACTAAGAGAAAAGACCTAAAGGTATTAATCTCTAGGTTTTCCCAAATAAAATAAAGCTAGACAAACCAGAAAAACTAACAATGAATGTAAAGATCCATCAGCCTCAGCAATATACCAGGGATTTTCAAGTGGTGCTGAGATGGTCTCAATTCAATAGCCAAGGAGCACCAGACATTTGAACATGGGTTTTTTTGTTTTGTTTGTTTGTTTTTTGAGACAGGGTCTCACTCTGTAGTTGAGACTGACCTGGAACTCACTATGTAGCCCAGGCTGGTCTCGAACTCACAATGATCCTCCCACCTCAGTCTCCCAAGTGCTGGGATTATAGGCATGCGCCACCACGCCTGGCCTTGAACATCATTATTTTATGAGAAATATAGTACTAGAAAAAAGCAAACTGAAGGAAACTGAGCAAAGAAACAAAATTTAAGAAAAATAACTCATAATTAACATCTGAAGACATTCACAGATAACACTGTATCCACGAAATAAAACCAGAGAAATATAAGGGAGGGGTTAGAAAGAATGAGAGGGGAAATCCAAGAAAATGTGCAGAAATCAAACTTCACACAAGAGTGCTGCTTTTCCTACACAATCAAGGCATGCCTAGGTATGTCAGAACAGGGGAGGGAGGGAGGGAAGGAGGGAGGGAATTCTAATTACATCCCAGAAAGGAGAAATAAGTGTAGAAGCAAATAAGACTTCAAGAGCAACTCTGGAGGTTGCAAAGTCATAATGAAAAAAATACCTTCAAAATTATGAAAACAATTTTCGGTCTAATTCTATGTTCAGTTAAAAGTCTTACCAAACATACAGACAGAATGAAGATCCTTCCAGCAATGCAAGGCCTCAACATTTTCTTCTCTGAAGCCTTCAGAAATCACTAGAAGATGTGCTCTACTAACAGGGATAAGAAAGAAGACCTGATACAAAAGGAAAAGTTTCCTATCAGAAGCTAAAAGGAATCTTCAAGATGGTGGGAAGAGAACACCCAAATCATAGGTATACAGCAGTCTAATGGAAGAAACAGGTTAAAAAAATTCCAGAAAAGTTTTCTCAGATACTAAAGACAGCTGATGTGTTTAAAAATACTGAAAAGACAAATATTTTTACAATTGGAAGAGATAAAATCTCAACTAATGGTAAACAGAAAGAAAATGTTAAAAATCACTGTTAGGAAAACAAAATTTTGCATAGGCAAGATCACAGGACCCTACACGGTTTAGCAACAATATCTGCATAGTTAGAACAGTGACCCAACCAGAGTATCTCTATATTAGATGGACAAAGGTAAAAATTATCTACATACAAGAAATCTATACTAATTCCAAATTGAAAAAAAAGGCCTGACTAAAAGTTAACATGTGTCATGAAACAAAAATTTCACACATATATTGTCTGACAAAGTACTAATACCAGAATATATAAAGAACCTTTACAAATCAGTGAGCAAAAGCCAAACAAGTAAACAGGAAGATACCTAAAATCAAACTTTTTTAAAAGAATTCACACAAAAAAAGGAATCAAACCACCTAAATATAAGAACTCTCATACAATGGTGGCAGGATATGAATTGACACAATTTGTCAGAAAAAGTGTGTACTATCTTCTAAAGTATATTAAGACACCTTCTAATTTGGTGATCCCACTCCAGAAAAGCATCCATATGTGTTCCAAGATCATATCCAAGGCAGCATTTCTTAAAACCTAAAAATAACTCAAACATCAACCAACAGAAAATGGATAAGCTTTGATATACACATAGAATGTGATCCAGTCTACAGCAAAGACAATGAATAAATTATATCCAGTAATACAGATCAACCTTAAAAATATAAGATATAGGGAAAGAAGAATCAAAAGATTGATACAATATGATTTCAATTATGTAGGCAAAAATCAGGCAAGACTATTTTCTACAGATAGATGTATCAGAAAACCCAAAGAATGGTGATTGCCATCAAAGACAAGACAGTGGTCACCAGTAGAAAAAGAAGAGAGAAAAGTGATCAAAATGGGTTCCATCAAGAGATTTTGGGTGGGTGCTTGGGTACAAATGTTCACTTAACATTATACCTGCCAAGTATATTTTATGCCCTTTTCTAATTTGAGGCTGTATTTTACAATTAGAAAACTATCAAACAGTGCACAATTGATGAAATAAATTATTAAAATACATATTAGTCATAACTGAATCATGGGAACCCCGATTAAATATTCATGTCAAGTAAAAAAAATATCATTATCAATTTGTCATAAGACAACTGGGGTATAACTTCAGAAGTAAATGAAATCATAAACAAAATCAGAAAATACAATTGCAAATTTGTAGACTAGAGGGCCCCAAATGCAGCAATAAAGAGAAACAGGAATAAACCCCATACCTATGTCAAGGAGAAACACCTTAAAATATACTTTAGTACTTTAAAAAATATAATTGTGTGAAATTTGGGGATAATGTTTACAGGTAAAACAAAATATCCTGTCAGGTACAAAACTTTTATCTTGGGGGCCTTTGGGCATCATGGGAGGACAGGTATCACAGGGGAGGGAAGTAACAATGCCCATACCATACTCTGGAGAGTATACCAACATAATTAATGGAAATATATACTTTAGCATAATGGTAGCCAGCTGTACGTCTCAGTAGCTGTGCAGGAAGAATACAGAAAGTGATCTTTGTCTTCACCCACTTGGTAGACAGTAAAGTTTATGCATGTGTATCAAAGTAGCAACAGGTAAGTTTTGCCTATGTAACGTTTTTGTGTATTTATGATTTGTTTTATTATATGTTTTCTTTTGAAAACATATAATACTTCTTGGAGAAGTAGCCCATTTCAGTACAATGTCACATGAAAATCCACTTTTACAACTTTGGGAAGAATATGAAAATGAGTTGTCAGGTTGACTGGGCTACCAATGATGACAGATCATGTAAGTCAAAGAAGCTGTAACAGTGAGAGCAAGATATGACAGAAGCACAGAGTGAAGGTCATGATTCACGAGTAAGGAGACAGTAATGTAAATGAATATATGACTAGTCAAAATGCTTCAAAATGGTCATGTATACCTGAATGATCTGAACTCGGTCAGAAAATGTTACTAGGTTCTTGCCAGGGGTGAAACCTATTGTACAGAATGCCCAACACTGAGGTTCAATACTGAAAACTATTTGTAACAAATAACATGCCACAAGATGTTCTGAAATACACTAATAATGAAATACAAGTAAAATGTTCTGTATTTACCAACAGTCATACTCAAAATTATGTATCATGAAACCTCACTATCTGAACTTAAAGCCTTCACAGCAGTACTTTATTGTTCTGATTGTCAGAATCTAAAGAATTTATGGAGAAATGATAGTGTGGTATTAAGATTTTATAACAATGACACTCAACAGATTTGGTTTCCTTCAAAATTGCCTACATTTTGACAACAAAAAGATCAAGAAAGAATAGCTATTTGCTCATCTTTTGAGAGCTTTGCTTCAAGCTGTTAGGTAATTTATACACTGTCTGAATACAAGACAACTGAACAACTTGCATCATCTCATGGTTATTATAGCTTTTGGCAATATACACCATGTAAACCTTCCAAATATGGCATAAAAATATATGCAATGGTAGGTGCCAAGTCATTTTACACCTTGAATTTAGAAATTTATCCTGGAACTTAGCCACTAGGTCTTTATTCATGCGGTAATAAACCATATGATGTTGTGAACAGACTTGCTGCACCTGTTTCAAAAAGTAATCCAAGGGCCAGGGCACGTGGAAGCACACCTGCTTGGTACGTGCAAGGTCCTGAGTTCGACTCCTAATAACTAAGTTGTGGGGGGTAACCCAAATGCTATGTTCAACTAGTGGTTCACTAGTTACTCACTGGTGTTAACATTTACTAAAAGAACACTAGCTGATCACCACAGGAACTATTCTTAAGAAATGTTTGAAGTTCACAACAGGGAAATGTATCATATCATCTTTGGATTTCAGAAAAACTTAACACTAGCCTCCTAGATGGCAAAGAAAGACAAAGTAGTACTGATACTATCGACATTACACACAATGATAAGACTGATTGTGAAGCTGAGCATGGTGCACCCCTGTAGTCTCAGCACTCAGGAGGCTGAGGCAGGAGAATCCTGTGGGTTCAAGGTCAGCCTGTGCGAGTTCAAGGATAGCCTGGACTATGTGAGACCCTGTCTCAAAAAAAAAAAAAAAAAAAAAAAAAAAAAAAAAAAAGATAGTAAATCCTCAACACAAATGAAGGTAGAAACGGTCATATTAATGAGTTATGTAGCAACTGTGATGTCACTCAAAACACAAAGCACTGGCTGATGGCTGTGTTTTATTCAATCCTAAACCTGTTGGGCTTAAATAGTTTCATGATTTACAAAGAAAGTAACAAACACAATTATCAAGGAGAAATTTTCTTAAGGGGATTGAGACTGGAATTATTAAGTGACCAATTACAACAGAGAACAGTAGGTATATGCCCAGAGCCTTCTGCAAAAGAATTCTGGAGCAGAGTGAAACATCATAAGAACCTCCGAAGAAAACAGGATGTCAGATATGTCCTACCAAAGAAGAGAGGAAAATAAAGTATATGTGCTATCCATGTAAGTGGTACTTATGCACATGTTCACATATGTTAAAACTGCTTTAGGTGTGATAAAGAATATTTTTGTGGTAGAGCTTTATTTGTATTTTCATTGTAGTTCACTTAGGAATTTTTTTTTTCAGATGTAGTGAGCAAATAGTTGATGCAGAGAATGTTCATGTTTATTCTAAACACTCACTATATATTTGATATTTTAGTAATATTTCATTTTCCTGCTAAATGCACATTATGTAATATAATGGGAAGCTCCTGACAAGAGGAAGGCTAGAGAGGTGACAAGTACAACATGCCCAAAAAAGATAGTGAGACTTGTGTATAGAACATGCTGTTGTCAAGTGTGAAGACTGCCTTAGGTGTGATGACTGAAGCACAGATTATTTCTGTGGTAGAGTTTTGTTTGTAGTTTCATTGTAATTTACAGAGCAATTTACTTCTGCTGTTATTTTTTAGATTTCTGTAGCAAGTAAACAGTAGATATTGGAAATGTTGATATTTATTCTAAACACTCATTACATATTAAAAATTTATTATTTTATTTTAAGTACAGTTTAATAAAACTCAAACTAAAATTAATAATTCATCAGTAGAAACACCCTAAAATATAAGTGGCATTATATACTCCACCATGATGCATCTTTCAAAAATTTTACCATGATGCCCATATACACACGCTTTCAAAGTGCAGTAAAAATACTGTTTTTAAGACACATATAATCTAAGCGATATGAACTACATCAGAGCAAACTTACTGGAATTAGCAGTTGTTCCAGAGCCAAATGCAGACTGACTAGGCTGCTGTCCAAACACAGAAGGCTGGCTGCTGCTTGATACTGTTCCAAAAGCAGATGGTACAGGCTGAGAACCAGCAGAAAACAATGCCGATGATGATGATATAGATCCAAAGCTTGGAGGATTAGGCTGGCTGGCACCCTGACTTTGTCCAAATGTTAGGGTCGTCTGGTTAGCACCAAATGCTGGACTGGCAGATGGTACTGAAGGTCCAGGGCCAAATACAAAGGAGGATCCTGGAGGCCCAATGAAATACTTACATCACTATGATGCTAAATGTAAGATAAGCTTTCAGAAATTTCTTTAACCCACCAGAAAATTTTAGCTCTTTTGTAGAATCCTACCTTGATCAAGCCAAATTTCAAATAATGACTAAGAATATAACTCTACCATTATTTGCTAAAACATACTGAATCCATATAAACAAAGGTTCAATTCACACAAGTCACAACCTTCCCAGTCAACAATTTTTTCTTTTTCTGGTGGCCTCACATGTGCTAAGCAAGCGCTCCACCACTGGGTATATATATCCCCAGTTCTCCGCCAATAATTCTGGCATGCAAAAATAACCATTGCAAGTTATATGTACGTAGTGCATAATGAGGTCTGATATCTTAAAAAACAACAACAACAAAAAACACCACCAGTGTATAGTTACCTACAACCTGACATCTCAAAGTGAAAAGTTAAAACAGCTTAAATTTCAATTGAAGCCCAACTTGGGCAAGCTAGAAATACCCTATCTCCCCCCCCAAAAAAAAAGTGGGGGGCATAGGAATACAGCTCAGTGTTAAGTCCCTGGGTTCAATTCCCAGTACAAAAGATTAAAGCAAAACAAAACTAGCACATTTATATTAAAGTCAACCCAACTATCACCTTTTTTTTACTATTGGAAATGTACCTGCAGAGCTAGATGTAGTTGTTGCTCCAAAGCTGAAACCAGAGGTTGCAGTACTATTACTGCTGGCTCCTGATCCAAAGACAAACTGGTTGCCAGCTGTGCCTGTTGTACTGGATGTGGCTGCTGGTTTGCTATCCTGAGAAAATAGCAAGGACTGAGATGTACTGGATTCTGCAGAGTTACCAAAAGCAGAGCTGCTCACAGGATTGCTGGCCTGTCCAAACACAAAGGCAACCACAGGCGGATTGGAGGAGGAAGTGGAACTACCAAAAATGCCACCACCAGTTGAAGTGGCTGGTGCAGTTGAACTAGAGGAACTGGTGTTCAAAATACTAAAAAGTGGCTTTGCTGTACCTTGATCTGTAAGACAGAAAATGAAGATACATAAATCCGTAAGAACAAATCATCACAGCACTTTTTACTACATTAGGAATCTAAGAATTCATTAGAAAACAATGATAAGGTTTGATCGATTTGCTCATTGAATGAACACCTAATACAATCTGATACTATATATAAAAAATAATAATCTCTTCTTTTACAGCCTATGGATTTTGTCTTTCACAGAAAAGCCTTCAGCATTCAGATTTTTAAAAATTTTTTAATTGTCCCTCAAATCTAAATCTAACTTGATACATTTAGATAACAAATTCAGATAGTGGAAGATAGCTGTGACTTGTGTATTTGATTTTGCAATTCATGCAACAAATACTGCAGGATCACAAATGGGTAGCCAATTTTACCCTAGTAGCAATGTATCCTTTGTTAAGAATGTTCAGTTCCATTTGGGGGGGGGGTACCAGGGACTGAACTCAGGACCTTGCACTTGTGAGGCAGGAGGTGGAACCACTGAGCTAAATCCCCGGCCCAGTTCCATCTTTTTGACACATTTTCTTAACATACATGTATTTGTTCCCTGCGGTGTTACTATCAGACTGTTTTAATTAATATAACTTTATACTGTTTTGCTATTGATAGAACAAATCTGCTTATGTGCCTGCCCTCCCCAAATTTTCTTGGGTATTTTCCCTTCCATGTACATTTTAGAACAGGCTTAACTTATTGACCTAAACAAAAACTACTCTAAGAATTGAACTCTGTCAACTAGTGGGTTGCTTCCACTTTTAAGACCAGTCTATATAGAAAATTTGTCTTTTTAAAAATATTTCTGCTACACTAGTCTCATCTTCTAAAAACTGCTATCTCAGTGGAACTTCTGAGCTTTTGTCAAATCTCTGTATTTCTGCACTGTGTTCTGGAAAATTCTAGTTCACTAACCAGATTATCAGCTACACTAGTCTCAACACTCAAATGCAGAACAGTTTTTATTTCAACAGCTAGACCTTAACTTGATGTTATTTTATTTTCCTTTAGGATTTCAGTTTTCAAAATCAGGACTATTTTCTCAGGGCTTAATTATATTTGTTGTCTGTATTTCATAAATGATTTCCAACTGGTTTCTGTAATTTATAAATGAAAGCCTTTACATAAAAATTTAGACAATATTTTGTACATTTATGAATCCCTACTTTCCCAGACAGTATAGTATATGCCAGCTCTGATTACAAGATGCCCAAAAAGAAGGCCCAAGTAGAAAGAATGGCATATATCAGTGTGCACTATTGTGAGCTTTCCATGTGAGCTGTTATTTCTGAAAATTAGATCTGTAGGTAATTTAATCAGAATCAGGAGGGTGAGGAGAAAAGTAAAAATTCTTAGGTCCTTCCCAAGAGTCCCATAACTAGTACTCTCTCAGCTATGTCCTATATAAACTACTCTTTGACTTCCCATTCTTGAGATGTCAAAGGCTTCTCACAATAAAATTTTAATATTTACCAGACGTGGTACTGGTTTGAGCTCCAAAAGTGAAAGCGGCCTTTGCTGGCTGCTCAGATTCCTTCTCAGATGGTTTTGAAACATTGAAACTAAACAATGACTTTGAAGAACTCTCATCTTTGGTTTGCTCTGAATTCCCAAAGGAAAATTCTGGTTGACATTTTGGCTCTTCATTGTCAGCTTTCTTCCCAAAAGCCAGAGAAGTAGAAGTGACAGTCTCTTTCTGCTTTTCTTCTGTCCTTCCCAAAGCAAACACTGAGGCAGATGACAGAGGGGCAGTTTCCATATTGCCAAAAGTGAACCCTCCCTTGGCAGCGGACATTTCTTCTTTTTTTGCTTCTGTTGTCTTGCATGTGAAAGGAGCCACTGAGACACTCTTGGTTTCTATGGTTCCAAAGCTGAAGCTGGTCTTGTTCTCAGAGGTCACTGTGGTATCAGTAGCAGCAGGGATAGGGTTAATAACACCAGTACCAAAGCTAAAGCCTGCGGATGAAGATTTAGGTGGTTCCTCTTTCTTTTCTTGCTGCCCAGGATTAGACAAGCCAAACTGAAATGGAGCTAAAGAAGTTGGATTGCTTAAACTAGAAGAAAGTCCAAACTTAAAATTATTATCATTCTTACTGTCTTTTTTAACTTCTTCAGTTTTAGAATCATATGAAAAACCAAATTTAAAATCTGCAGTTGGTTTAAGAAATTTAAAGCCTTCCGTCACAGGGTTTACAGACCCAGAGTCAGATGATACTCCTATTTTGAATCCCACCTGATCTCCAAATTTAAAAGTTCCAGTGCTTGCTGAAGTCTGAGAAGGCGCAGATGATGATGATGGAAAACCAAATTTGAAGGATAAGGCTGGTGGATCAGAAGATGAGGAAGATGTACTAAAACCTTCAAATATATAAAAGATATCACAAAGACTGAATTAATACAATTATCCTCTCAAACAAAATATGTCTTTGAAAGCAAAAGTGAAATAGGAACAACTTTGAAAGGGCCTACTTTGAAGAGTATTATCCACACCAATAAATATGAACCAAGTTGACCAATATTCATCACAAGATTTATACTTTAACCTTTACAACTATACAAAACATGCCACCTCCTATCACACTGGCTAACAAAGTTTGATAAATTCTGTACTGATGAGAATTAAGAGTAAGCACTTCCACATATTGTATATGGATGTATAATTTTACACAAAATATGTGGGGAACATTCTGTCAGTATTTATCAAAACCAGAATCATATATACCCTTTGACCCAGCAATTCTACAGCTGAGACTTTAAGGATAAAATCAGAAATGCAGGGCCAGGACTTAACTCAGTGGTTCTGCCTACTTCACAAGCACAAGGACATGAGTTTCAATCCCCAGTATCAAAATAAAACAAAAAGAAATGCAAAATGCCATGTACAATCTAGACAGAAAGGGAGTGTGGTATGCAAATTTCTGATAAAGTAGAAAATCACAATACACACAACAGTAATATGTTTGCATAGGGGGCATTAAAGAAACATCAAAAGATTTGTAAGAAATTAGCCATAGCTACTCCTTGGGTGGGGGGAATGAGCCAATGGGGACAAGAGGTGGATGGATGTCTCATTATGAACATTTACCACATTTTCTTGATTTTTAAAAGTCTTGTATTATTTACTCAAGCATTTAAAAAACATTAGCATCAAGAAAACAAAAATAGTACAATATGAAGCTATATTTATAAAGACAAACAATATTACACTGACAAGATCAAAATTTTTTTCATTGGCTCAAAACATGAACCATTAAAAAGCATCAAGATATTCAGAAATTACTCTGACATGTAATAAAGACACAACAGTAAAGCTTTTTATAAACCTCCATCTTCAAATTTCCTCTTTCAATGATTACTCACCCATCCCACCTTTTTCTAAAGAGAAATTAGTTGAAAATTACATTGGAATCTGAGGAGCAGGTGGCTATATACATGATATCTAAAGTATTTTAAATAATTCTAGCTAGAATGCTAAAATTAAAAGTGTCAAAGACAAGAATTAACCTGTATGAGTACTGCCTCAAAGGACTCTGTACACATATTTAAAGCATGGTGGCTCCTACACTACAGGAAGGGAATATGGGAAAAGGATGGTAGTGAGACAACAGCTACAGAGCGAGTCCAAACGGACCAGAGTATAGGAATCTTCAACACCCAGATGTAGCAGTTTTCAAGTGCCAGTTGGATTCCATTAAGTCATCCAACTAATTTAGTGGGCTGCAATCATTTTTTCTTTTAGAGCAAAATGGAAAACACTAGGACACTTCATACAGATCAGGTATTATTTTGCAAAATTCTTTATTTCAATCATATAAACTAAAAATATAAAACTTTTCATTTTCGATCCCCGGTACCATAAATAAATAAAGCTTTTCATTTGCAGTCCAAAATTGACCTCCAGGGCTGGGATTTAGTTCAGTGGTTCTGCTGCCTTCTTTGTGAGCGCCAAGGTCCTGAGTTTGATCCCCAATACAAAAAAAAAAATTGATCTCTAGATAGCTTAGCATTAATTACTTTGAGAGGTTATCCCAATATATCTACATGATAAAATATTAAAGATTAAAGTTAACATTAAAGATTAAAGTTAATCTTAAAGATTAACTATTAAAGAGAAAGCGTTCTCTTTCTAGAATGTATTCTGGGAAACCAAAGCCCAAGCTAGATTACTTTAAATTAAAGTCAAGAAATTCATGTAAGTCGTTTACATTTTAAAAAGAACCCAAAAGCTCTCTGAAATTTAAGAACATAAGAAAGTTCTCCTCTTGTGAAAAGACACCTCAGGTGACAGGCAGCTTTCTGACTTTAAAATCGGAGATACACATGAATTGTATGAGTTAAGAAAAATTATCTCATTTTATATGAAGATTCAGCAGAGAATGAATAAAAATCTAACGCTATTTGCAAGTATTTCATTTTAAAATGGCACTATAAATTGGCATTTTACCATCACCTTACCCTTAAACTCAGATTTCGTGCCCGGCTTTGCACTCCCACATGCCACACATTTGGCAGAGTCTGCTTTATTCTGCACTAGGCACACTTCACAGTCCCAGCTTCCCTCAGGCTTTTTGAACTTGTCCAGTCCTAGAGAGCTCCCAGAAGACACAGAGATGGGTACAGTGCTACTACTAGAAGCAGGGACTGAGGTTCCTAAAAGATCATGAGGAAAAGCATTAAAATTTTTAATTTTCATTTTGTCAGCATCTTAATGATACCACTAAGTTGTTTGATTCTGACAACTTCCTATTAAGAAATAAACAGAAATGTAAACATTACTTGTTAAAAACAGGATATACTACTCAGATTTAACCTTATAAAATGAGCAGCTTGCTCAAATACTGCTCAGTGGTGAGTGAACTCCCTCCTAATCTCAAATTAAAATTTAAAAAAATAAAAACATGCTCAAGTTAAGAGCCCAAAGACTAAACTGTCTTTAAGAGTCCAAAATTTCTTTAAACAGCTCAGCACTCTAAGACTTGAGATGTAAACCATAGGCAAATCCCAACACATAAAATGCATAGCTATATACTATATTAATTTTAAGATTTCAAAGCACATTTTAGTTTTGCACATAGTCTATCATTCATCTCACAATGAAACCATAGACCTACTATGTTAATAATGTGCCTGTTATATTGCAGTTATTTAACAAACATTAGCTGAGTTTGGGAGATAGAAAGGTTAATAAAAACAATGTTTAACTTTTAAGGTGCTCATGGTCTAAAACGGAAAAATAAAACATGAAGGTATCATCACCAACTGATAAATAATCTAAAACAAACTTGCAAAGAAGGAAGAAATGACTTAGAGGAATATTACTGAGACGGTAATTAAATCTTTAAGCAGAAACAGCTTATTTGTGGGGAGAGGTGGCAGTAAGGGCAGCTCAGCAAGGCACAAATATGAAGATATAAGTGTGCATTAAAATTAATTAAAAACTGATGTAAATCCTTCAGTAATTCTAACTTTGAACAGGAAAAACTCAAACTCATCTCCATTTTTCTAGTTGAGTTAGAATTCATAATAGATTCAGTTATTTCCTATCATTTCAACATCCGTGGCATAGCTACAGCATTTTCATAAAATACTACTTCACCCTTAAAGAAACCTCCTCTGTAAATGATAACTATACTTATTTCTATGTAAGAGAAAAATGTCAAAATCACATCAAGGTCTGAGAAAGTCTGTCTCATTCTGAGAACTTTTAGTGTCTATATTAGTCAATCTTGAAAAGTAAAAAGAGCAAGAAGTTTCTAATACATTTTTAAAAAGCCATTAATATACACTAGACTAGTTAACATACCAGTAAACCTACCCTAAGTAAACATAAGACCTAGCCACAAGCAAGTCACTTTAACCTCAAGATGGTTTTAAATATTATGAAATGTTCATCCTGAACCATTACAAATACTATTCAGCTGTTTTACAGAATAAATCATAATGTTCTACTTAAGTGAAGAGCAAAATTATTCTACATAGCTATAAATATACCTGCTTTCTCAGACATACAGGCCACACATTTGTTGTCTTCTGCAATGTTAAAAACACAGCATACTGGACATTCCCAAGATCCCACAGGCCTTTTGAATTTATCTCCAAATCCTAAGGTACCAGAGGTAACAGTGCAGCTAGAAGGTGAAGCCGTCGTAGTTACAGCACTTTCTGAAACCACTATCAATGTCAGGGGTCGCTTCACACCAGTTCCAGGTTTCGGGGTTTCACAGGCCACACATTTCATTGCTTCAGGTTTATTTTGCACTAAACAGGTATCACAATCCCATGACCCTATTGCTGGTTTAAACTTGTCTCCAAAGCCTATTCCTGATGCAGAAAGAGCAGCTTTGCCACTTTTGCTTGGTGTCCCAGTTCCAGTCTGCTTAGCAGTTTCTCCTGGTGGCAGTTTTGCCGCTTGACAGGCTATGCACTTGCTGTCTGTAACACTATTCTGTAGCAGACATGTATCACACTGCCAGGATGATCCAGCTTTTAATCTTTCCCCAAACCCAACTCCACCAGAAGAAAAAGTACTTATTGCTGGTCTTGTATAAACTTCAGGGCTTGTCATAGTAGGCTGAGCAGCAACAGAATCTACCTTTGGTGAGGCAAAACCTATGTTGGGGTGGAGGTGAGAAGGAAAGAGACAGGGGTTTTCTAATCAAAGTACTGATTCCAATTACTGAAAGAAAACATATTTACCTTATTGCAGGGTTATACAATCCAAGATGAACAGCTTTTAAGTTTTTCTCCCATGCAATCATATTGTAAGTATAAACTAGTAAATCACAGACATAGTTAAAATTCTATCACCTTCTCCCTCTCAGAAATTGGGAGTCTGATGCTCTCACATGAACTTACCAATATACACTACTGTCATTCACATTTTACTATATTGTGCTTTCCTGTAGTGAACTACAACAATGTCAAAGCCTTCCTCCCACACCTGTTATTCCCACAGCTATATTAAATGACTTCAATATTTATCATTTTTCAATATTTTCAAGTCACAATCCAGTGTTATAGAAGCCTCTAACTTCAACAGAACCAAATGAGCTGAAGAGGCATAATTATTGAACAGATGTAATCAAAAGTGACAGGGTGGAATGAACTGTTTCTAACTATACTAAACTCACATAACATAGGCTTCAAATTTTTATGGGTTGATGACAATGATTCTGTTTCTCTGGGTCTAAGTACTAAAAGAAAAAGTACAGATAGTTACAGGTTTTCTAGAAGTACCAAGAAATAATCTAGCCTAGAGCTACTTTTAGGATAAGGGCAGAAAGATTCCACATAATCCAGTTACTCGCAGCGGTCAACAATGTATAATTTGGCAAATTTTTCAAAGTGATCATCTCAGGCATTATAGACATCTTTTCCTTCCATTCTGTCACATTTTCCTAATTTGGCCAGGCAAACTATAATCCCAGCTACTCAAGAGGATCACACAGAGAAACCAAACATGGAGGTCAGTCTAGGCAACTTAAGTTATACTTCGTCTCAAAGAATAAAAAGGGTTGAGGATGCAACTGACTGGTGGTAGAGTGGTAAAGAGCCTCTAGGTTCAATCCCCAGGACTACTAAAAAGAAAGTTAAAAGCACACAGGACTGTGTATGCAAAGTGTAATCCTAACTTGCTAAATATATGCGTAAAATAAAACTACACTCACAAAGAATGGTTAATTCTAGGATTAGAATTCAGGATTTCTGAAATTCCCATAAATTCGTACAACTACCCAAATTACTTCATTCCTGAGGCAGTATACACCACCTAAGAAAAAAGGAAAAGATGGACCAAATAACCTAACTCTCCCCTAAATCTTATTGTAGAAAGCCAACCTTACCTTTATACAAGCATCCATTATACATGCACACATCTGCTGGGTAAATCTAAATCCTTTCCAAGCTACCAGGTTACATTATGAACGGTTATACATTCTTGTACTATGTATCATAAAACTGTGGAAATCCTCTGATTTTAAACCAACTTTATTCTTGAGCCAGGGATTTAATTTAGTTCAGTGGTTCTGCCGCCTGCCTCACAAGTGTATGATCTTTATTAAGTGCTAGCTCTCATATCTTATACCGCAAACAAGAACTGCCCTCTAAATATGTTACAATTAAGCAAATTTGTCCTTGTTCTACTATGTATCAAATGGAGAAAAAAGTGATAAGGCAGTGCAAAGAGCTCCTCAGAGAGAGATATGACCGGGTTCTGTCATCAGGGTCATTTCCTCTTTTCAATATTGGACCATCTCTATCTACAGATAATTCATTTTCCTCTCCAGGACTTCCATCTTAGGCATCAGGATTAGTTCAGAGTTCTTAAATTCGAAATGAAAGAGTAATGGTTTCTAAGATATTTTCCAGAAAATAATTATTTGACTACATTTATATTTAAAAAATCAACCTATGAAACTAGTCATAATTTTTAAAAGGCTAAATTATAACACAGTTTACATTAAAATGAGATTATGACTTGTAATCAAGACTTCTGGTTATCTTACCCGGGCTTTTCAGAACATCTAGAACACTTCCTTCTTTCAGGATTTTTGCAGGTTTTAAAACGCCCTCATAATCTTCACTTTGCTTCTTACAGTTTATACTGTTCACTGCAATGTTGTCTTGAGCTGTAGTTTTTTTAAATTATAAAAGATATTATGCTAAGAAAAAGGACTGGGCTTGAACTAAATGTACTTTTTAAATCTTCCAAAGACAACTCTATTGGATCAATTTCTAAAACTTATGAGAAAGTCACTGTAATTTCATTAAACACAAGACTTAAAGTACAGAGTTAATTTATTACAATAAGAGGGTTAAAATTACTACATATTCCGCTCATCAACCCCCATGCTCACACAAAAAAGCAGTAAATATAAACTGCCAGCCAATGTATTCACTGAAAGAAAATAAAACTGAAACATGGGGGGAAACAGTGGCACTATTTTACAAGAAAAAAGTTATAATCAAATTGAACTGTTTTTACTTCTTATAACCAAAGTGGAATAACTTTTAGTGAATTTGAGGTAAATTTTTAGGATGATCTCAATATGCAATCGCACAGACAGACAGAAAAAGGAGACAGCAAAAACATCAGCTCCAGTCACACAGTAATTAATTATGACATCCTTATTTTCTATTGGCTTTTTAAAAAGAGAAATGGTGAGAACCAGAGGTATAAAAATGATAGCACACAATTCTATACACACTACCTATAAATGCAGTCTTACTCAACTCCTTAAAAAAATCTGAGTAATTTCTTGAGATATAATGCAATACAAAGCTCCTTTAATAAATCGTTACTCGTAATACTAACACATTACTAAAAATTAAGGCTTTTCCTCGTAACAATTAGTCTATTCTTTAATCCAGTAATACAAAAAAAATTTCACAGTACTTTACTACTTTCTATTATATAAAGCTGTTTTGTTTGTTTGTTTTGTTTTTGGTACCGGGGATTGAACTCCAGTCCTTGCACTTGCAAGGCAGGCCACCGAATCACTGAGCTAAATCCCCGGCCCAAAGCTATTTTGTGCAATATAAAAATAGAGCCTGCATCCTGACTTTGATCCCCAGTACCCCCCCAAATTGTTCTGTTATGCAATTATTGCATTTACAACATTACATTGGTAAGAAAGATAATGGTGCAAAATGTTAATAAGTAACTAATGAGGGTAAAGCTATGTGAAATTTTTGTATTATTTTTGCAGCTTTTCTATGAGTTTGAAATTATATGAAAATCAAACCTAAAAAAAAAAAAAGAGAGAGAGCCTGCAATTAGCAGTCTAGTTTTAAGTTTGTATTTTACATGGCTCCCACAATCTCTGCTCTTATCTTTCAGATAATCCAAAGCTGAAGCCTCTCTAGCTTCTATGTCCTGGCTCATTTTTAAAAATATGTATTTTAAGAAAGGACAATCTACTTTTCAAAATTCTAAATAAAACTCAGCAAATATTTTAAAAATACAGCACTTCTGTTTGGGCATGGTGGTGCCTTTCCATATAATTCTATCTATTCAAGAGGCTGATACAGAAGGGTCATAAATTCAAGGTCAGCCTAGGCAACAAGGAATATCCCACAGGAAAAAACAAAAGAAAGAAAAGGAGAGAGATGGGACAGGGAGGGGAGGAGAAAAAGAAAACCCAAACACTTAAGATGTAGTGGTGGCAAACCTAGGGCATGTGTGCTACAGAGGGATGTTTTATCATTAAGGCTCTAACGGGTTTCCCATCACTGTGGTAGAACTGCCTCCAAATGATGTCATAACATGTCTCTTTTCCTACCCATGCCCACATACTCAATACCTCTCTTTCACAATACCCCATTACACTAGCAATGTCCTATTAAAAAAAAAAATCAATAAATCCTTACTCCGTTCACAATAAAATCAATTCTTTAGCATGGTATTCAAGAACTTTCAGAATTTACATCTACTTTTCCAATCTCATGATAAATCATCTGTAATTCACAAAGTATGCCATACTTTTTTGTTCTTGTTCCTGTGCCTTTACACTTGGTTTTTATTCCTGTAGTATGCCCTTGTTCAAATTTTGTGACCTGAGTAACACAGTCTAAATGTTTTTCTATTTTCCTAACAATGACAACAAAACAATATCATGTTTTAATTATCTGATTACTATTTCTCTCACTCAATTTTGATTTCTTCAGTCTAGAAATTTTATATACTATTGCACAGGCCACCATAACCCTTACAAATAAAAATATGAATCATATAGTAATATTAGAGATAAATTCCATCACAAAATATACAAACAAGGGCCAATGACTTGGCTCAGTGGTGCTGCTGCTTGCCTTGCAAGTGCAAGGCCCCAAGTTCAATCCCCAGTACAAAACACACACACACACATAAATTTACAATGAGACTTCATTTATAATAAACTTGTAACTATTTTTACTAACAAAGATGAATAATTTGATATTCTGGCTATCTGCTCAAAACCAAACAATAATAGTTTACTATCTCTTGAAAATAATAACACTGTTAGAAGAATAAAGCTTCTCCTTTTTAATTAACAGATAATTTAAATGAAAGGAAAGCATTTAAAGGAATTACCAAAGGTGAAAGCAAGAATTTGAAATATTATTCTAAGACATGCAATTTTGTTTTTGCAAACATGTAAAAATATTTACTTACCGGAACTACTTATAACTGGTTCTGAAGTACTGCTAGAGCCAGTAATTTCTGTTTTTGCAACAGGCATACTAAATGTAAATCTAATCTGTAAAGAGCAAAGAATACCAATTTGCTTTTAAATAGGATGTAGTTTTATGACAAGTCCAAAGATTAAATTTCCTCTATTTTAAATAATACAGTTTTCATATTTTACAATCTCTAAAAGGAATTCATAACCTGGGTACTGTTGTGTGCACCTACAGTTCCAGCACTGGGGAAGTTAAAGCAAGAAGATCACTTAAGCCCAGGAGTTCAAGACTATCTTTAATAACAGAACAATATGCTGCCTTAAAAAAAAAAAGCAGGGCAAGGGAGAGGAGATGGATACAGCTCAATGACAGAACATTTGCCTAGCATGCATGAAGCCCAGGCTCAATATCCAGCGCTGCATAATTGAAAATGTATGTGTATGTATGTATGTACATCTGCGTGTATAAAATCGGGGTTCCTCTTATATTAAATGACATGCCATAGTTTCACGGTAATTTTCATTTATTAGACATTTTTCTCTCTCAAAACAGTACATAAAATAATAGTGTGCTCCAAAAGGTTAGTTCTCACTTTCTGAATGCTATTTTCTAACAGAAAGAATGAGACAACCGATGGCAAGGAAATTATATGTCATCTACAACACCTAGTCATGACAGAAAATTAGGACACAGTTAAAAAGAAAGGCAACGTATTAAAATAATCCATGTGCCAAATTGGGACAACCTGAACATTAAACTTTATTCTTACTCCAAAATGTTTTTTGACCATTAAGAAACAAATTTTGTACGACAATAATAGCCCATCATTTTTCAAAATTCAATATGATTCAGGACACATATTAACAACTACATTCAATGCAATTTAATTGATGAGGTAGGTCCTAGTCTTGAACTGGCAAAGAAAACAGCAATTAAGGGACATGTGAGGATAACAGGGAAATATAAATATGGACTACATTAAATTTCTCTTGGGTGTAACTGTACTAAATGAATAGTAAAACAATGTCCCTCTTCTTAGAGGACACATGGACAAATATTAAGTCAGTGATGGAAAACTTTTAGCGCTTTCTATGGTAACAACAGCAAGCCAGCTGCAGCACATGTGCCATAGGTTTGCCACCACTGTATTGAGTCAAGAGTCTGCATTTTAACTGCCAAATGGTACAGGAAAATGTATACACATCATAAATATACAAATATGTGAAAGAAAGAATGTGAGTGTTCATCTGAGTTTTCTAAACAATGAATTTTTTTTAAGTTGGAAATTAGAATTCTTCCTACCAACAGCATCACAGATTGGATAACGATGCAACATGCTTTTAATATCAATAAACGTGAAATATTCCTTGCTTCCTACTTACAGATGATGGAGATAGTACAACTGCCTCAGTAGATATTACAATTGGAGATGAAAATTTAAACACGGGGCTGCCAGTGTTGCTTGGAGAGGTCATTTGTCCCTGTTTATTTCCCATCAAGAAATGACACAAAAAGAGTTATTTAGAAAAAGAAATGGACACTATAAACACACCTTGAATTTAAAAGCATTGCTCCTTTTAGACTGAAAAGCCATTTTTAACTTGTGGCAAAAATTAATAGTAACTAGCCGGGAGTGGTGGCGTAAGCCTATAATCCCAGCACTCAGGGAGGCTGAGGCAGGAGGACTGCCATTAGTTCGAGACCAGCCTGGGCTACATAGTGAGTTCCAGGTCAGACTCAACTACATAGTGAGACTCTTATCTCAAAAAAA